TGTTAATTAGGAGGGGAGAGACGATTTTTTAATTAGCGGGCGAATTATTGGGGAGTCACTCTGCGCCGAGAAAACATTGGGTTTCTTATAGCGCCGTGACTTTCGTCGCAATATTAATTTTTTTATTGCAGAGATTAAGGGATGAAACGGAGGTTGATGGACGGAGAATTTAATTCTCCATTGAACAGTCTTTGTTTCATCCCTTAATATTAATTAGTCGGCGAATAAATCAACTGAAAAACATAAAGTAAACATTGAGTACAAGTAGGACAAAAATCCCCTTTCGAACCTGTCCCTGTCACAGCGGGACTGCTACTGCCGAGTTACTTACGCACCCGATTCACATTTACCGACAATTCGACCGGGACGCCGCTTTTCCCGTGGGGTACCAACTAACATTTTTGGAGTCAGTCAAACCCCCCGATCCGGGCCGCTACTCAGATCTATCCTTTTTGGCCCGTACCATCCCATACCACAAATCCACAGACAAATAAAGAGAGATTGGCTGTTCTAAGCAGGCTATCTCTCTTCAATTTTCCGACAGCTCGGGAGTCGTACGAGCACTCTAGATATACCTCTATGACACATCAGTCTATCCTCTTTGATGAAAACCCACCCTAGATCTCCCCTCCATTGTCCAGCAAGGTCCACATATCTGCGTAAAATTTCCCAAAAATTGACCCGATAGGTTATTGCTGATGGCTTAGAAAATGTGAAGAAGTGAATTTCTTGGAAAATCCAAGATAAGTTAGTCCATCTATTGTCTAGGAATAATAAATTGTGTTCGAGCAGGGTAGTTTCATTGCCTCCTTATCGATGCCTCGTTAATTTTTCATGTCTGGAAGGAGGTGTTATTTATAAGTCAGAGAATTGAAGATTGAGATCCTTGTGTAGCAAACCTGATGAATTCTTGGTTAATTTTTTTTATTTTTCTTCGGCCTCAGTGTTACTAGCGCAATGTCAAAGCCAGATGCTCCAAAATTAGTCACAGCCTTATTCACATTCAAAGGAACTAACAACGATGAGGTAATTTATATTTTATAATAATTTTAACGTGTGAAGTAATAAAATTTGTTTTATAACATGTATATTGATGGTTATTGAAATAGTTATGCTTCAGAAAAGGCGATGTCATAACAATAACGCAGACCGATGATGGAGGATGGTGGGAAGGTACCTTGAATGACCAAACCGCTTGGTTTCCTTCCAACTATGTCAAGGAGTGTCGCGCCCCTGGTAATAATTCAATACATACATTCAATCTCACCAAAAATTATTTTTCTGTACTGCTTCTCACGATTTCTCGTCTGGTAATTGGTATTACATACTTCCCAAACTCGAAAACTTGAAAATCACTACAGAAAAATATTGTTCGTGGGCTGTTGCGATGGGGTTTTTTTACTCGTGTGGTTGGCCAGTCCTCGCCTAGGGCTCGGAGGCCAACACCACACGAGTAAAAAACCCCATCGCAACAGGCCGGAAAAATACTATTGTTTTTGTGAAGATAAAACAGAATATATTACTGCTGAAGTGGTGAAATGAGATAAATTACCCATTCAATTCAATTACATATGGCTTTATGATTACGGATAGAGAAAGGAGATTCAAAGAAAAGTATCGAAAGAACTGATTGATAAAATATTTTCACCATTAATTCTGTCAAAATCCGGAAATTATGCAGGAAATATCAAGACACCGTTTCTTACAGTTTACACAAAATTATATTAAAACGTCTCGTGATGATTGCACATAATATTACTTAATACTGGGTATCCTCCAATTTATAATCAAATATTCTACGTTTAGAAAAAGTGCAAAATATTCTTTCGGGAAAATATAGGCTGGAAAATGAGGAGACCCAAAGTAATTGACTCGGGCTATTGCCTGGTTCAAAATGATCAACTTCTTCGCGGATTTTTTTCTGCGCAAATAAGAAAAAATTGATGATTTTGTCATCGGGAAAGGCAGCTAGAATATCGAAATCTGCTGCATAATAACGCTAGAACATTCTCCTATTTATTAGCTGATTTTCTGCGTTGAGAAAAACACAAAAATAATTATTTTCCTGGAAAAACTAATATTGGATGGCAAATGATATGAAGGCTATTCGCGATCGCGAAGATGTGGGAGCCATTAAGTGGTCTCTAAACTAACTACTCTTGGGGGCCAACCAATGAGATTCGATGTTTTCAACGGCCGATTAAGGGGTCTCCGCAGTTGCGATGGGCACGCGGGTGAGTGGAGTGTGAGGGCCGGCGCACAATCAAAAAGAACAGGGAATTGAGAACAGACATTAGGAACAGGGAATATAGCGTGGGGAACAGGGAACAATCCAACGCACAATCAAAAAATATAAACAGATGACATGCGCAATAAAATTCATTCTGTTCGCCACTCGCAAATAAACATTCAAATATTGCATCACTGCCAAATAAACAATTAAATTGTGAATTCTGTTCATGAATGTGGAGCAACGAATCAAATCATAAATCGAGATCTGGGATTTTTTTTATCCCATATATGAGGAAAGGATCGAATCAATTCAATCAATAACTCATCCCCCTCTTTACACTGTTGATTGACATCAACATTTTGCTTTTTATCCTCATCTGCCTGCATTTTATTTTGTACTTCACTATTTTTTTTCGAGTATGTATGATTCAGTGCCATGAGGAAGAGGCAGGTAATAGTATATTTCGTAACGAGTGCAAAAAAGTGTTTTTTGGCGAGTGCGAGGTTTATATCACGAGCCGAAGGCGAGTGATATAATCCCACGAGCTAAAAAACATTTTTTCACGGGTTACGAACAATATTTTTCATCACAATGTGGCGGAAATTGTACTTTTAGGCACGCGGAGCGTTAATTACATAATGTTGAAATTTATTCTTTATTCCTTTTTCTTAATGTTTGTTCTCAATTCCCTGTTCTTTTTGATTGTGCGCCGGCCCTGAAATAGTCAAGTTAGTGAGGTTAGTTTCGAGAGGGACGGGACATCAAACATGGCGTATGTTGGATAATGACAGACATCGCCATAGTATTTTTATCTTTAATTTATGGAACAAATGAACGATAAAACCCAATGGAACTTCGTGCCCATATTGTTCATATAGCACAATTTAGCTTCTTTTGCTGGCTAGCACATTGTCAACAGTGTGAGGGGTATGGGACAAAGTAGCGTCCATAAAGGTTGTGTATAAGGCGCAATTTGAATAATTAATTAAACACGAACGAAACCATAAAAGTAGTTAGAATTGCTTTTACAAATACCTTTTTAACATTTTTGATTACTATATGATATATTTAATTCACAAGCACATTGTCACATTTTACCCAGAAGTACTGGGGAGACCCCTTAATCGATTATTTTACTCCAACATCGATGTTTCTGACTAGCATTATAAGGCGCGCTTCGCGAAAGATCTTTGCATCTTCATTCTTCGTTGTCATTATTGATTGAATAAATCAATCATTCATTAACTTAATATTAAGATATTTCCTTTGTTATATAAAATTCCAATTACTAAATTGCGGAAACCGTATATCTCTTACATTTATAATTACATATAAATTTACTATCATAATTTGATAAGGTTGAGTGCAGATGTGGTACAAAGAAATTCCGATTACAAACAGTGATGGATAGCAAACGTCATGGATTTTTTTGATAATTAAGGTAATATACAGGGTGTTAGGGAATGACCCGTTTTCCTTTTGACAGTTGATAGGAAACAAATCACAGATTATGGGAAAAATCTTTAAAAAAATATTTATTTGACGGATTTTTTTTATTTTCAAGATTGAAAGTTGACGGAAAAACGTTGAGAAATTCGGAGTCCGAAGTTGACTAAAGATGGCAAAAACATCTGGCAACGTTGCAAATATCATGAAGTGAGTTGCTGTTGGGCTTAGGATTTTTTTCCCAGAAAGTGGAGTCATGGATTATGAACAAATGTCCAACCAATAATTGTGTACTAGATCTCTCGATTGTGTCTCAATCTCTATCGTTCAGTTCAGAAGATGAGTAAAAATGAATTTTGAGAAAATTCAATGAATTAAATGAAGATAATGAATAAATAAATAAATTGAATAAATTGAAAATTAAAAAATTCAATAAATTTAGCAACAGGGCAATCATCGCGAAGATGAACTGAATTACTCGGACGAAGGTTTTTCTCGATTACACGGGAACGATGCAATAAAAATAAGTAAACTCAATTTTATAATGTTTCTTTGGATGCAATAGTGCGCTACTCTGACCAATTTGGACAAAGCAATGCAGTTTTAGCAATGATATTGAATGGTGATGATACACGGCTGGCGTCACCAACATTTTTCCATTGGATTTCATCGTTGTTCCTTTCTTCTCATCGTTCATCTGAGAAGATATTGTAAAATCCTGAACTTGGTGGGCTGAAAACTCTAAAGAGAATTGTCACATATTTGTTACTGTATGAATGTAACGGAGATCAAATTATGAAGTCGAACCTAGCAGAAAATTCGGCAGCCGAAGATAGAAGACCAGTGGTTCTCCCACCTGATCGAGTTTTCGTCTTTAAAATAGTAGATTATGTCATTCGGCGATAAAAGTATTATCTGGCGAATGTGGCTGTATAATCACATTTGTCAGATGATACTTTTATCGCCGTGTGACAATATTTTATGTCGCTAGGCCCGAAAACCGCGATCTAAACGATCGAAGCAAGGTTAGAATCACCGTTTATCGGGTTTCGTGAAATAAAAATAATTAGGAAAATTAATAGTTCAATCTGAATATTTCACCAGCTACATAAAGCCAATAAAGCGATTGAATTTAACCTCAGGGCAGTAAGAGCAACGATAAACCGAATTACTCAGATCAATATTTCGCTTGATTACAAGGGAACGATGCAATAAAAATGAGCAAACTCAACTTTAGATGTTTCTGTGGATGTAATAATGGGCTACTCTGACTAACTTGGACAAAGCAATACAGTTTTAGCAATGATATTGAATGGCAATGATAGGTACATAACTGGCTTTACCATCATTTTTCCATTGAATTTCATCGTTGTTCCTTTCTTCCTATCGTTTATCTGAGAAAATATCGTAAAATCTCGAACTTAGGCTGAAAAGTCTAGAGGGGATTTTCACATAGCTGTTACTGTATGAATGTAACGGTCATCAAATTATGAAATCGAACCTAGTCGACAATTCCACAGCCGAAGATGGAAAAGCAGTATTTCTCACGCCTAATCAAGTTATCGTATATAAAAAAGTAATTAGAAATAATTCATATTCCAATCTGAATATTTCAACAGCTGAATAAAGACAATCACACTATTACGTTAAGAGAAGTGCACTATTACATCCACAGAAACATTATAAAGTTGAGTTTGCTCATTTATATTGCATCGTTCTCCGTGTAATCAAGAAAAACGTTGGTCCGAGTAATTCGGTTCATCTGTGCAGTTATGTCCCTGCTGCTACATTTATTGAATTTTTTAATTGTTCATTTATTCAATTTATTCATTTATTCATTTTCTTTATTTAATTCATCGAATTTTCTCAAAATTCATTTTTATTCATCTTTTGAACTAAACGATAGAGATTGAGAAATAATCGAGAGATCCAGTAGACAATTATTGGTTGGACCAGCTCGAGACTACCATCACTTGATGTTATTTCTACAACTGTATTGCTCTCTCTTAGCAATTGCAGAGTAGCTCACTCTCTGATAGAGCAGAAATCATAAAATTGACTCATAATTTTTAATCAGAGTAACGCTTGAACCTCTAGTTGTTCTCTACCCATTCAATTTGATTGAACATTTGTGAGATCTGTTTCAATTGGCAACATGGGAAAACAATACGGATTTGTGAGAGGCGAGCCTCTTTGATTGAGTCAGTAAATCGTCATGGCCCTGGCACTGCCCGCCACGAACGGAATTCTACTCTCCCATGAAATCACTTCCAATTTCAAATTTGCTCTTCACTGAAATCTAGAATTGAATGGGTACCTCAGACTCTTATTTCGTCAGAACTTTACATATTTATCAGCCGTAAGAAACCTCAGGGTTGGACTCAGCCTATGGAATTACCGCACAGTACAAAAACGAGGTTATGTCCATAATTCTTGATCACTCTTCACGGTGAGAAATTATCATCCTCATATCGGAATGTTCAAAATGCAGCTATCCCATGCTGAACTGCATATTATTGAACATTTCCTCTCACACACCGTCGTGTTCAACTGATGAATCGTTGCATTTGTTGAGTTAGGTTATGAAACATGCATTGAATCATCATTGCGTCCTATCTCACATTTCTCCATAATCCATGACTCAACTTTCTGGGAAAAAAATCCCTAGCGCAACAGCAACTCGGCTTGGGTACAGTCATCCCAAAAACAAATTCCAAGGCGCGTGGTAAATCTCCGAAACGTAAAGTCACTGAGTGGTAAAAATATCCGAATATTGTATAGTAAGTGTTGATTGTGCCAAGGCATTTGAATTGGATGAACACTATAGTGGATGAATGGTGAATTGCACAGGGGAGAGGGAAAATGGGTTTCCAAAGGAATAAGAATATGAAAATAACTGTTTGGTTTTTCAGATGAACTGACGAATAGACCGTTCCATAAAATCCCCGACAAGCAGATATCTTGGAGAGTGTAGACATGGAGCTGATTATTGTAAGAGTTTAACATTAATGGACTTTCGAAAAACATGTGCATTGATTTCTCACTCTATAACGCAAAGGTTCGTTCGACAAAACCACAGAATTATGATATATATACTACTTATTTACTTTGTCTTGACATATTATCTATCCATTATATCAAAAGATACTGGCTTTCGCTGTTTTATTAGTTACGAGGAACATAGATATATTATGACTTCGAAGGTAACAGGTCTCATGAAAAACATGAACAAATAAGTACATGTTATGATTGATAGTCGCGTGACCCATTCCGTGAGTGCCATAATCCGAGGGAGGTGAAATGCATTTTTATTGGAAGCCCTGGGATGATTTTTCGAAAGGGCTTGGAAATGGAACGAATGTATGAATTGTAAGAATACCCGCTGACTGGATGAGGGAAATCGCTGACAATAAGTGAACTACCTGTGGATGTCATGAAGATATAATAGGTTTCTCTTTAGTCTTCAAGTTTCACTAACCTAGTAAAATGGATCCCAATATTCCTATGTGCAATCAATTTGTGGAGTCGAACAAATAAGAGTTTTCAGTTTCTGGAATTCATCCAATACCCCTTTCTTGGTTTAGACACTCAATGTAATATTACACTCCAATAATTCGTCATTTTGGGAAAAAGTGATGCAAACCTATATGGAGTCCGTGGCTAAGAATCTCTTATTGGGCAATATTTCTGGCGATTATTGAGACAGCTGATTTTAAGGTCTTGAAATGTGCTGAGCAGATAATAGGTCATTGCGTAATAAATTAATTGCTCCTGTATTTTCATTCGTGGATTTTATTGCANACCTATGTGGAGTCCGTGGCTAAGAATCTCTTACTGGGCAATATTTCTGGCGATTATTGAGACAGCTGATTTTAAGGTCTTGAAATGTGCTGAGCAGATAATAGGTCATTGCGTAATAAATTAATTGCTCCTGTATTTTCATTCGTGGATTTTATTGCATCTTTTTTCGTCTTTACAGTAGGAAATCAATTCACATGTTTTTCGAAAGTCCAATAATGATAAACTCTTACAATAATCAGCTCCATGTCTACACTATCCAAGATATCTGCTTGTCGGGGATTTTATGGAACGGTCTATTCGTCAGTTCATCTGAAAAACCAAACAGTTATTTTCATATTCTTATTCCTTTGGAAACCCATTTTCCCTCTCCCCTGTGCAATTCACCATTCATCCACTATAGTGTTCATCCAATTCAAATGCCTTGGCACAATCAACACTTACTATACAATATTCGGATATTTTTACCACTCAGTGACTTTACGTTTCGGAGATTTACCACGCGCCTTGGAATTTGTTTTTGGGATGACTGTACCCAAGCCAGCAACTCAATACATGATATTTGCGACGTTGCCAGATGTTTTTTCCACCATCTTGAGTCAACTTCAGACTCCGAATTTCTCAACGTTTTTCCGTCAACTTTCAATCTTGAAAATAAAAAAATCCGTCAAATGAATATTTTTTTAACGTTTTTTTCCATAATCTGTGATTTTTTTCCTATCAACTGTCAAGAGGAAAACGGGTCATTCTCTAACATCCTGTAGATCGACTATCAAATATTGAGTTTTCAATGAGTTATGTTATTAAAACAAGTGTTGATGTATTTCTAAAACTTCTATGTCATGGAAAGGATCAAAGTCAATGTGTAATTTTTTCATTTGTGATACCTGACTTCATATGAATCTTTTTTTTTTATTTTACATTTTATCATTCATAGAAATAATAGAGGATGACACTTTAAAAGTGTTTTTGTTTTATTATTCTCTGAGAAGAAAGATTTCAACTTTTTTATGTTGATGTTACGTTGTTTTTTCTATCGATTTCGAGGCATTTTTATTTTAAATGTGTAATATTATCATTTGAGGAATAAAATTTTTATTTTCGATATGAAATAAACAGAGTTTTCCCCCTGTTTGTCCACTTATATTTACACTTGACTCAACCAGCATGTGCTAGGGGAAAAGGGGACAACGTACAGGCTGTCCAACTGGGCGATTCCAAAGGCTATGTCAGAGTAGACTAGGGAGCAACGGCCAGGTGAGAGGACTGTTGCCCCCGGGATCCCGTCGGGTTGATTGGTGGGGATAGGGTAACGGAATGACCTATCGTTACTGAGTTATCCAGATTAGCNGCTAGGGGAAAAGGGGACAACGTACAGGCTGTCCAACTGGGCGATTCCAAAGGCTATGTCAGAGTAGACTAGGGACCAACGGCCAGGTGAGAGGACTGTTGCCCCCGGGATCCCGTCGGGTTGATTGGTGGGGATAGGGTAACGGAATGACCTATCGTTGCTGAGTTATCCAGATTAGCGGGAGAAGGCCCTAGTAAGATTCTGAGTTAGTCGAACGCGGACGCTCAAGCGGGAAAGTCGAAAGGATTTCTCCGGCGTATACTGTGGTGTTGGCTTGGAAAATGGCCAAGGGAATGGTGGCGAATAGCTCAGCGCAGCCAGGTGCATAACTGATGGTAGCGAACGTGGGGAATGCTCCTGCATTCCCCACAAACGGGAAAAAAAGTTCTTTCGGAACTCTTGGTGACGACCTTGTGGTTTCCGGCGTTATCTGGTCTCGGCGGAACGATTTGAGGCGTATGGGCCCGTGGGCCTGGAGTAGAGCAATCCTCCTGTCGGCCCGACCATACGTCGCCATTTCTAGTACTACCCGGAGGCAGTGATGCGTGATGACCGAAGCGGTAACTGGTGGCCGAGAGTGTGTTGTAACAGTGTTCCACTTTGGTCGGATCAGCCTCTCGGCGTCCCAGGCTCTGAGGAGTCCCGGCTGATTCGCATTCAACTCTGAAACACTCCCGAGTCGAAATACTCGGGAGGAGCAAGCCTACTGAGAGACTGCAAAACCCCTCAGGACGAGTGTAAAGTTAATTTGCATGGATGATTAGGCCGTGAGGCTTAATTTCCAGCCTGGAATAGTGGCTGATGACGTTTGATACGNCGTCCCAGGCTCTGAGGAGTCCCGGCTGATTCGCATTCAACTCTGAAACACTCCCGAGTCGAAATACTCGGGAGGAGCAAGCCTACTGAGAGACTGCAAAACCCCTCAGGACGAGTGTAAAGTTAATTTGCATGGATGATTAGGCCGTGAGGCTTAATTTCCAGCCTGGAATAGTGGCTGATGACGTTTGATACGTTTGCCCAGCCACAGAAGTCCTCTGAGTGGACGAGTTTGCCTCAGAGGCCGGTTTTCGTCGAACCTCCGGTGAAGTTTCGGCTGGCGCCCAATTATCGAGCGATAGAGACGGCTAAAAAGTAGTTTGGATTTTTCCTGGGTGAACAACCCGGGAAAATATTTTTACACATCGCAAAGCAATTTTAATGGAAAATTGTATTCTTTTAAATCTAAAAGGATATTCGTCTTCACTTGATAAAGTAGTACGATTCAGAAATATGATGTCCCCCGTTTTGTCATCTGAAAGTGTTTCACATCGTAACAAATTATTCCTGAGTTCTAAAACGAGTAATCGTGTACCATTACATAAGCCTTCATGTATACTTAAATTTCGTATAAGCATAATAATGGTGTATTTTCGTAGACGAATTTCATGAGTTGGTAGTGATTTTGGAGACAAAATATTCAAATATTCTAGCAAAAGGACTTCAGAAAGTTGATCATTTTCAGCTGCATCTGCACTATCAAAACTCGTATATATTTTTTCTGTTTCTTCATCAAGTAGATAAATAATATTTGCATTTATTCCGTGGACATCATTGTCGCGAGCAGACAATATAGTATAATTTGCTAGTTATGTATATTGGGTGTGTGAATATGACTCTGCCCTTTTTTGTTCAAATAAAAAACATTTGCTTGTTTAGAAAATTAAAGAAAAGTTTATTGAAAGTATGCTCCATCTGCAGCTATAACCTTCGCCCATCTTTCAGGTAATTTACGTATTCCTTGCCCGAAGAAATCCTGGTCTTTTGAGCTGATCCAATTATCAAGCTAAATTTTGATACTTTCATATGAAGTGAACCGTTCTCCCGTAAGATCTGACTGCAGTGTTCGGAATAAGTGGTAATCCGAAGGAGCTATGTCTGGCGAATATGGCGGGTGGAGTTGCACTTCCCAGTCCTGTCCATCTAAATATCTTTTCACAACTTGGGTGGTATACGGTTTGGCATTGTCATGTTGAAGAATTGAGTTACTGTGCCTATTCACCCATTCTGGTCGTTTTTGCTTCCGAATGGAAGCTTTGCAATCCTTGAATTTTTCGATTTTCTAATTTTGCCTGGAAATCATGTAGAATGGTCTGAAATGTAAAAATACGAAGTTTGGCGACAATGTCTGTCTGTCCCCCCCCCTCCGCAACTTTTTGGAAATTAGGTTTTAGAAAATACAACACTAAGAGGGCTAAAAAAATTCAAAAAAATTTGAAATTTTGTCAGATTATAGGTCCTAACTAGGACTAACTCTGGGCACAGGATCAGCTCGATCGGTCCAGTAGTTCCTGAGAAAAAGCCATTTCTTTTTGAATCTTTTTTTGCAAATATCTCAAAAACTAATCGGCCGATTTCATTTTTTTTTCAAAATGTTCGTCTCAACTCCCTCTATCTGGATCAATCGAAACCTATATAGCCATTCCTGCAAAGTTTTTGAGATATTTCCACTTTTCTGTTTTTTTCCAAAAATCGTTGTACGCTCTCTAGCCTTCGCAAAAATGGAGATATCAACTTGAAATTTGGACAGGATCTCCGTCTTATGACAAGGACGATTGGGATTGAAACTGGGCTGAATCGGCCCAGTGGTTCCGGAGATATTCCATTTTTTATAAAAATCGATTATGTGCAATATCTCGAAAACTAGTGGACCGATTTCACTTTTTTTTTCAAAATATTCGCCTTGATGTCCCCTATCCAGATCAATCAGAACCTATATGGCCGTACCTGCAAAATTTTTGAGATATTTCTACTTTTCTGTTTTTTTCAAAAAATCGTTGTACGCTCTCTAGCCTTCGCAAAAATGGAGACATCAACTTGAAATTTGGACAGGATCTTCGTTTTATGATAAGGACGGTTGGGATTGAAACTGGGCTGAATCGGCCCAGTGGTTCCAGAGATATTCCATGTTTTAGGAAAATCGATTATGTGTCATATCTCGACAACTAGTGGACCGATTTCACTTTTTTTTTTCAAAATATTCGCCTTGATGTCCCCTATCCAGATCAATCAGAACCTATATAGCCGTTCTTGCAAAGTTTTTGAGATATTTCCACTTTTTTGTTTTTTTCCAAAAATCGTTGTACGCTCTCCAGCCTTCGCAAAAATGGAGATATCAACTTGAAATTTGGACAGGATCTTCGTCTTATGACAAGGACGGTTGGGATTGAAACTGGGCTGAATCGGCCCAGTGGTTCCGGAGATATTCCATTTTTTATGAAAATCGATTATGTGTAATATCTCGAAAACTAGTGGACCGATTTCACTTTTTTTTTTTTAATATTCGCTTTGTTTTTTGCTTCCGAATGGAAGTATTGTAATGGTGCTGTTTTCACATTTTCTAATTTTGATTGGAAATGATGTAGAATGGTCTGAAACGTAAAAATACGAAGTTTGGCGACCATGTCTGTCGGTGTCAATGTCCATTGCCACCTTTGCGGTGGTCGATTTTTGGAAAATTGAAAATTTGGAAAAGATCTGAAATTTTGTCAAATTATAGACCTTAACGAGGACTAACTCTGCAAAAGTTCAGCCCGATTAAGCAAATAGTTTTTGAGAAAAAGCTATTCGTTTTTAAATCGTTTTTCG